GAATAGTGAGGGACTCTGCAGAGCACTTTGCCCTGACACAGAGCATGAGGCACCATTTAAACAGAGAGAATAGTGAGGGACCCTGCAGAGCACTTTGCCCTGACACAGCACCCGCAAGGCAGTGCCACCACCCAAGGTGATGGGCCTTTCCCATGAGCACCGAACCTCGGCAGGGGTGTGGCAGTCGGTGTAATGCCCTCTTGGGGCACATGAGCCTGTGCACCTCAAACCACTGCTGTAAAATGGGGTACGAGCTGAGCATGCAGGCACAGGCCTGAAACCCCCACACTTCTGGAAGCCCATTCAGGAGAATCATGAGCTCCAGGCTACGCCTACGCTGTGAAACCCTGTCTCCAGAAAAAAAGCGGGCGTGCTGAGTTTAGCCTTCAAAATCAAAACTTCCTCCTTCACAGAATGACACTGCTTCCTTTGGTGACTGTGCCCATCTCTCAAGGGTAAGCTTAACTCAAGCTTCCTGCAGCTGTCCCTTAAACTTCAGGACCCTATGCTTGGCTCTCCTCTCCTGGGGGTGTGGCTTAAAGGGCCCAAAGACTCCAACACCAAACCTAAATCACTGAGTCCACAGCGCTCAGCACACAGTGGCGCACAAACCTGGGCATCATAAGGAGAGCTGGAAATGTGAGAAGAGGCCAATTCTTGCAGGACCTGCCCAGGAGCTCTGGTCCACAGGCCATGCAAAGTCTCTAAAAAGCTCCAAGACACAGAACACAGCCCTGTCTACATTTCAGAGCACTCTTTTATACCAGTGACACAGAGGGCAGGTAAATGTGGCCTCTGTCTTCATGCAGTACAGTTCTTGCTGAAAAAAAGGCGAGGGTAAGCAGATACAGCAATAAAATTGAAGGCCAAAGGAAGCATCTGCATTTGTAACAGGGAAGCCTAATTGTAAAGAAACATTTAATTGGGTGTTGAGGGGCTTGCCTGTAATCCCAGGGCTTGGGAGGTTGAGGCAGGAGGATTGCTGAGTTAGAGGACAGCCTGGGCTAGTGAGTTCAAGACAACCTGAACTATACACCTTGTTAAGCAGAGTTAAGAACTCAAATGCACTGCACATTCAGCAGAGGCTTACAACTAAGTAAGAGCTGGCCATGCTGGGCGGGACAGAACATCTCAGGTAGAGAAATCAACAGCACCCTGAAGTAGACATGAGCCATACATAATCCAGGAAGAGCACTGTCAATGTGCACAAGCGTGCAGAGAGCATGAAATCTCTGCAGCACAGGAAATCAGGATTTTGTGCTAACTACAGTAGGACATCAAAGGTGGGTTCTTTTGTTTTATAAAATTTCTCATTTTATTCTGAGTACATAATCCAGGTACACAAATCAATATTCACAAGATACTGTAACTGCTCTCCAACTTCCACTGGGTTATGTTCTGTAAGGTGAAAATACATTAACTCCACTCCAGCGCAGCCCGAGACCTTCAACAAACTCAGAGCTGGGCAAAACACTCCGACTCAAAGCCTACGTGGCAAGTGTGGGACATCTATGTAACTTACCAAACACTGTGATGAAAATAAAAACCAGTCAGCCATGCTGGCATGCTCAGCAAGGTGAGGCAGGAGAATCAAGCATCCTAGCCCAGCATGGGCTACAGAGCAAGACCCTGGCTCAAAACACACACAGAGGGGCTGGGGATTTAGCTCAGTGGCATAAGCGCCTGCCTTGTAAGCAGGCAGTCGTGAGTTCGATCCCTGGTACCGATAAAAAGCAAAAAGACAAAAATAAAAAATAAAAAAAAATAAAAAAAAACACACACAGAGAACCCTAGCACACAGAAAGAAACTAGTATTTACCCTACCTTTTTTTGGTCAGTTTTTGAAACAGGATCCCAAAATGTAGTTTAGGCTATCCTTGAATTCACTGCATACACAGCCCTAACTGACCTTGATCCTGAGATTGTCCTGCCTCAGTCACACAGGGCTGGGATTACAGGCAGACAGCACCACACTTAGTTTACCCTCCACTTTTTGAATGAAGTGAATGAAGAAAAATTTCTCTTTTTTTTTTTTTTTGTCTTTTTCCTTTTTATTGGTACTGGGGATCGAACTCACGACTGCCTGCTTGCAAGGCAGGTGCTTATGCCGCTGAGCTAAATCCCCAGCCCCGAAAAATTTCTCTTTATCGGTGAGAAATAATAAATGAAGTTACAGAATTAAACTATCAACAATTTTCAGTGCTTGGAATGCAATGATTCCAAGCACTGAGCACCAGGGCTGCTAACAGGAAGACTGTTAATCTTCATCCACCTGCCTCCCTAGCAAGTCTTCTTGCCAAAACTAAACTAGACCTGAACCTGATCACACCTTTAATAACCAGGTGAATTCTGTGTTGTTAAACTACAGCACAAGAGGGAGTCTAAACCAGGCACGGTATTACTCCTGGGGCAAACTACAAGGTTGCATCAATAAATAAAGAAGTTAGAGGCAGGCTGGGGATTTAGCTCAGTGGCTCAAGCACTTGCCTGGTAAACACAAGGTCATGAGTTCAACCCCAGTACCAAAATAAATAAACACACAAATAGGAGGAGAAATGAGGCAGTGGAGCCCGTACAGTAAGTGGTCACAAACTTCAAGTGGTGGTCATACCTTGTGATTCCAGCACTGGAATGCAGAGGCAAGAGGATAGCAAATTCAAGACCAGAGCTAGAACTTGACTCAAAAATGAATAAATCAAATAAGCCAACTAGTCACAATGCACAGGCCACATTTAGATCCTAACTCAAACTGCTAAAAAAAAAAAAATTATGAAAAATACATTTAAAAGTAAAAAATGCTGAGACAACCAAGAAAATTTTAACAATGGCTAGATATTCAATGTTATTAAGGAATTACTCCTTTTTCTGATAATATTTGTGTTTACTGTTTTGAAAAGTTATTAAAAAAACACATATTGAAACCTGGACTGAGGAGTTGAAAACTGAACTCGGGGCCTTCACAATGAACTACAACCTGGACCTTTTTTTACTTTTCATTTGGAGACAGGCTCAAATTTGCAATCCTCTGGGCGTCACTGAGGCTCGCAGAATGCTAGGATTACAGACCTGTGCCACGACACCCGGCCCGAAATACTTAACATTTAAAATGATAAGGCATCTGGAATTTCAGGGGACAAATGAAACAGGACTGGCTGTGAACTGGTAACTGTAGAAACCAGATGAAAGGATTCTCTCAGCATATGCATGTGAAGAGTTGGGTGCAGATGGGAGAACAACCAACTGAAACACGAAATAGAAATACATTACTATCTCTGAAGCACTTCAGTATTTACTTTTCTGATCCAAACATGATTACTGAAAGAACTAAAAACTAAAAGTCATGTAAGGAAACATTTTTTCAGCAAAACCTTGGGCTGGGAATGTTGCTCAGTGATACAGCACTTGCCCAGCATGCATAAGGCTAAAAATTCAATCCCTGGTTAAAAGAACACACCTTACCAATACTGTATCAGATAACATCAAAAGAGTTCATGCAAAAAATGATCAGCCTGCATAGACTTATTTTAGAAAAGAAACTATCTCTCTTTTGTATCTTGAAGATTGGGTAGAACTGGGGCTGGGGGTTTAGCTCAGCGGCATAAGCACCTGCCTTGCAAGCAGGCGGTCGTCAGTTCGATCCCCGGTACCGATAAAAATGAAAAAAGACCAAAAAAAAAAAAAAAAAAAAAGATTGGGTAGAACTAAATTTAATATGGATCATAGACTCTGACTTTAAAACTCAAACCTGCACACCACGAATAGTACACTAACAAATCTTACATACTGTGCAGTTTTCAACCACATCAATACTGAAAAGCACTTTTGCCAGTCAAAACCATCCACTTCCTTTAAAAACAACTTTACTAGTCAAGGGTGTGTTAAAATTCTGGATTCTCAAAAGTGATGTAAACCAGGCATGGTAGTGTTTACCTGTAATCCTACCCGAATGGGAGGCTGAGGCAGGAGGATTGTCAATTTGAGCCCAGCCTGGGCATTTTAGCAATTTAGTGAAACTCTCACTGTCTCCTACAGCCCCTCCAAAAAAAAAAAGCTGAGGCTGTACCACAGGGTGAGGGCCCAGAATTCAAACCCCAGTTGTGGTGTGCATCACTGGCTTCAACCATCAGCTAAAGACTGCGATTTTTGCAGTCCACCCTCAGCCTGAAATGTCTTGCCCTACTGGTGCCTGTTGAACTACTGAGGGACTCTGCTTGTTTTCGTGACTGTGTTTTCCAAGAAACAAACTGAATCATTTGAGCGTGTGTTTCCTCCCACCACTTAGACAGCAATCAATTTCTAACACAGGATCTCTAAAATAACTTACTAGCCATGCATACAGCTATCAGCTATGTTCTTGGTCTTTGGGGTCTGAGACAATTGCTTTATCTAGTTTTAAGCACAAACCAACAGCAGCTTCAGGTGAAGTAAAGTATTTATTTCAAAGTGAATACCTATCAATAAAACATAAGACATCTATCGAATATCTTGAGATATTAACTACAAAAATAAAGATTAAAATAATTCTTAAGGGGAGTGGTCCTGTAACATTTTAAAAAGAAGGGGAGGGCCACAATGGCCCACAGCCATCTCTAATAAAGTTCCGGGACCACTCTATTAGGATTCGTGTGCAGATGTGGCTTTCTCTTTGGGCAGAAGCCGCAGTTTTCAATCAGAAGAGCCGACCTGCAGGATGCGGATGCGTCTGCACAGAAACCCCGCAGTGGCCGCGTTCTGGCACGGACGGCATCCCCAGATCAGAGCTGACCCCGCGCCCAGCGGGACTCCCTGGGTGCAAGAACCGCGGAGCCACACAGCTGGCTCCCCGCTGCACAGCCGCGGCCTCCCCGCCCCGCTCGTTGTCAGGCGCGCCGCAGGCCCCGCGCCCCACTGGCCTCACCCAGGTCCTTGCACAGTCGCCGCGCCCCGCCGGTGCCCTGAGACCAGGCCGTGCTCCTCGCCGCCCGCCCTGCCACCGCCCCCGACCCGTCCGCGGGCCTCACCTAGGCAAATACTGGGCAGCTAGCGACTCGCTAGGGGTCCGAGGGTAGCCTTGGACTCACCGCTCAGTCTCGATCCTGGCTCCGCCCCCTGTCCGCCGCGCGCACCCTAGTCCGCAACCGCGGCCCACCCGGCCTCTCCGCCTCTCAACCCTTAAGCTCGCCCCCGCCGCCCGAACTGGGTGCGGCCTGCGGCGGGCCGCCCAACAACTCGCCGTCTCATTGGCCTGCCGCGCGCCGCCGCCGTCAGCATAGCGCTCTACGATTGGCTATTCAAGATGCGTGGAGGCGTGATCCCAAGGAGGGAATGACTTGTTAGTGAGCGCGGCTTGCTAGGTGGGCGTGGTCTTCACGGGCGCACTCTTGGCTGCTCCGGGCAGTGGTGGAAGTGGTTTGTGCCCGCCCCTGTGTCGTCCCGGGTCACCGCCCTCTGGATCCTCTTCCTGCGGGTCCCACCTGGTCCATAGGCGCTCTCTCGCCGGGTCTCCTGTTTGGCCTCGGTCAGTGGACGGCCCTGGCCCTGCAACGGTCGAGTCTCCAGGCGGCATTTGGGGCCTGTGATCAGGGTGGGGTCGGGATGGCTGGGCCGGCGGGGCCTGCAGAGCCTGATAAGACGCAGGGGACTGAAGGGCTCCAGAGTCTTAGGGCTCGGCCTGCTGGTTGCTGGTGCTGGTTGACAAGCCCTGTAGCAGAGACCTAGATTGAACCTGCAGGTGTCCAGCTAGTGACTGTGCCTTCATTTTCCTTTAATACCTGAAAATTTCGGGCCGATTCCTGCCCAGTTCTGGGAGGCACGCCACTCAGGGAGTGTCTGTTTGACAAGGTTCATTAGCCCTAATTTACAACAGAGGTAAATTAGGTAAACAAGGGTAGAGAGTCACAGGGACTTTCAGCTACGCCCAGAAGTCTCCATTGCCCAAGTCTGTGGGTCACCCTGGGTTCCACTAGCGCTTGCCTACCAGCCTGCCTACCGGGCAACCCTCCCCCCCCCCCACCACCATCTCGTGAGAACCAAATGGTCCCTCAAGCCAAAAGGGGCAGAGCTAGGAGCACAGGGTGGAAATAATTATTGTAATCCACAAATGAGCCCCCAAACTCGATTTCAAAAAATGGAGCAAAAACATATTTTAAAAAAGCAGCACTGATTTATTTTATTCTGGGCCCAGTGACACATAGAGAACAGTACGGCCACATTACAGGTATTTTGGTATAATACAAATATAACAAAGCTCTTTTTGCTAGTGTACAGCAATAATAACTAGATCTGATTTACCCCATGGGGGCTGGGGGTTTAGCTCAGTGACATAAGTGCCTGCCTTGCAAGTGTGCGGTCGTGAGCGTGAGTTCGATCCCCAGTACCGATAAAAAAAAAAAAAAAAACTGATTTACTCCAAACCAACCCTATGGGTATTAGTAACCCACTTTTTTTAGTCCCCTAACCTCTGCTGGTTTGGCCATAAAAGTTTTGGGGGGAACCTGATTGAGACTTTTACCAATTAGGAACAGGGGCCCAGGATTGTCCTGGTTAGTTGATGGCTTGTCTGGTCACTGGTTTGGAGTAGCACTGGTTCCTTTCCTAAAAGCCTTGGAGACACTTCTTTCATTGAACAGGGGTTCTGAATTTCTTAGGCACCCTCCTGCTGCTCTCTAGTCTGTTCTGTGCTGCTAGCAACTCCTCTGTTTCTCACCTTCTTGTAATTTGTAACTCTGGGGTCCTTTGGGTTGTGTTCTCTGCCACTGTCTGGGGAACATAGATCCTCAGGACTGGTGAAAACCTAGTAATCCTTTTCTTTTTCACTCAAAATCTACCAAAGATAATTCCCACTGTTTTACTCAGTTTGGGGACCTGGTTTCTCAGCCTGGCAGCCCAAGTGATTGGAGTGGCAAACCCTGTTCACACACACCCATCACCCTTAGGAGGCCAATGGCACCAATGGCTTGGGAACTTCTTTCCTCAGCCCTTTGTTCAGCTCCAACCCAACCAACCCCAGCCCCTTCGGCTGACCGCCTTGCTGTGCCAATTGCTTTTCTGATTTGATCTGCTGTTAAATCATTATCCTTTCTAGACTCACTGGGAACCCTGCACCCTCCATAAACTCCTAACTTGTCAAACAGATTTTGGAGATCTAAGTCACCCTGGTGGGTCACCTCAATTGTTTTATTCAAGGAAAAAGGGGGACTTTTCCCTTTGAGACTTGGCTGCCATAGCTTCTTGTTTCATCTTCTGGTCAAAGGGACATAACAGGCCAAGTGAGTCTAGGTTATTTTTGCTTAGTTTGATGCAAGATACTTCCACCTAACAAAAATCCTACCATAATATGAGGGCCACAGGGAACATTCTAAAGGACTCACCATTAGGATGCCTTTTGATAAACTGGAATAAATTTAACAAGGAAGAAAGTGATTTTCTTTCGTAATATAGTCTGGCCTTGGTATCACCTAAGGAGCTAGGAGAGATGGCCAAAAAATGGGCCCCTCTGTTACAGCACAATTTTACAGCTAGATTTGTCTACAAGAGGAAAGGCCAGTGGGGCAAGGTTCCTTATATGCAGGCTTTTATTGCTCTATATAGGATAAGGATTAAGGAAAACCCACTGGGTTTATGTAGCCTTTCCTCACCTCCACCTGGTGCTATTTTAAAAAGGATTGGGAGTGTGCCCTTGGACAGGTCCGTGGATGCAGCCCTGGAGCTGGATGTTGAATTCCCTTTCATTGACCTTGCAACCAATAAAGGTTGCTGGCACCAAAAAAACAAAAACACAAAACAGGATTGTGCTAACCTTTGACCTGACCTGTGCCATTGTTATGGATTAAAAACTGGTAGTCATCTTAATGCCAGCTAGATTACACCAGCATGGTACTGAGTGTAGATGTCCCACCTGAGGAAAGTTGCTAGCATAAATAGAGAGGTAGAGAAGGAGAAGCTATGTGTTGAGGTGTGGAGACATTGTGGGTTCTCTACATGTTACTGTTTGAGCCGTCGATTGTCCTGGAGAAGCTCCGGACTTCACATTGAGCATTGCTTCCTGGCTCCAGAGAGGAAGACATACAATGCTTGATCTCCAGGATAAACTCATCACGCTGGCTTCCTGGCATGTATTTGACTGTGCTTATCGTCAGAGGAGCTCGGGGCCTCCATGTTGCTGAGAATGACTGTAGTGCTTTTCAGGACAGCCCTGGTCTTTGTTATGAGTGTGGCTTCTTGGCTCCAGTATAGAATCCTCATCCCACCAGCACAGCTCCTTCACCCCGCTGGCATGTACTTTCTGGCTTCCACTGCTGACCCTTGGGCCTTCCCAGCACGGATCCATAAAAGAGCCTGGCATGAGTCCTTCTTGTGGGCTCTAGACCTCAAGTTGGACTCATGGGAGGCACTGTCATGAGCTCTGGGTCTTCATCTGGACTCATGTGGGACATTGCTGTGAGATTTAGCCCCTTGACTAAATATTCTATATCTCTGGTGTTGTAGATAGATTTCCTGCAGTTTCTTGTGTTAACACTGGGTGACCATCATAAAACATTATTATAAACTCCATGTCCTGATTCTAATTGTTCTGTGCACAATCCCTGACTGCAACAGCCAACATTTAGATACTTTTATCCCTGTGCTGCAGGATGGAAAGGAGATTCTGTGGCTGCTGTATTTTTTGAGCAGGAAACACTGCCCAGCCATGTGGGTTGAGGGGTCAGAGAACATCTCAAAGCAGAGACTGCCATGATCCCAGGACAACATGCATGGCAAAGGGGATGAGAATCTGCCATAACCTTGTTCACTGTGGCAAGGTCAAAGAAGTGAGCTGAGAGACTGGAGAAATCCTGCACTATTTTAGGGGTGATCAGTGGAGGTCATAAGAAAATAAACCAGCCTAGGGCCCAGCAGCCAGGAGGGACAAGTGTTCCTGGCTATGCATTTCATGTCCCTATCAGCCCCAGGTGCACAGAGAATTGCAGAAGGTGACTGCTGGCCCGCAGACTCTCTGAACCATTTAGCTTTTTTTTTTTTTTTAACCATTTAGCTTTTATGATCTTTAATAATCAGGACCTTTAATATGATCTTTAATAACAGGAGGACTAAAGAGACAGATGTGTGCTTAGCTGCAGCCTGAGGCTTCTTGCTGCCCTGTGGCTACCTGACAGTGGCTTGCCTTGACAGGTAGGACCAGAGCCCAGGTACAACTCCAAGGCCACTAGCCTCTTAGGAAAAACTAATGTGCTTTTTGCAGACCTGGTCACTGGAGAAAGGAATGTCAACCTCAGAGCAAGCTGTGGCACCCCAAACCCACGATGGTCAAGAGAGCTATGGGTTCATCTCTGCTGTGATAGGAGCAGCTATTGGCCTGACTGCTCCTTGAGTAGGCTTCATACATCTTTAAGCAACTAAGAAATCTCACTGTGGCCTTTTACTACCTAAAAATACAGGGCAAGCTTTAAAAACCTTCCAGGAGTGCCAAGATTCCCTTGCAAATATTCCTGATAGACTAGCTCTAGATTACCTCCTCGCCACTGACAGGGGAGTATCAATCATTAACAAGACCTGTTGCTCCTGTGTGAATAACTCAGGGAAGCTTGACACAGATAGAAGAAGGATGATGAGCAGCCCTCCTGGCTATTCACCGTAAGACCTGGATGCAGCCCCAAGCACCATCCGGACAGTAACCATGGCTGCCCTACTCAGCCTTACTTGGCTTCTTACTGCTATTTTACTGCTCTTAGTTTGGGCCTGTCTCTATTTGAATTGTTAAATTTGTTTCCTCAAGGCTGCCACAATTTCAAGCAAAGCTAAAGGTTTCCCAGAAATTGGAGCCCTCCTTGTTCAGGAGCCAGCACCTTGGACATTGTCTCACTTAGATCAGCCAGCCAGGGATCCCTGTACCCACTAGGGCAGATAGGGTCTGCACCCATGTATCAGCTTGAAGCAATTATAGAAGATAAGAGACCATTGCCTCTTGCCTCTTTAAAGAAGGTGAAATTGCCGGGCGTGGTGGCGCACGCCTGTAGTCCCAGCTACTCGGGAGGCTGAGGTGGGAGGATCGCTTGAGTCCAGGAGTTCTGGGCTGCAGTGCGCTATGCCGATCGGGTGTCCGCACTAAGTTCGGCATCAATATGGTGACCTCCCTGGAGCGGGACCACCAGGTTGCCTAAGGAGGGGTGAACCGGCCCAGGTCGGAAACGGAGCAGGTCAAAACTCCCGTGCTGATCAGTAGTGGGATCGCGCCTGTGAATAGCCACTGCACTCCAGCCTGGGCAATATAGTGAGACCCTGTCTCTAAAAAAAAAAAAAAAAAAAAAAAAAAAAAAAAAAAGAAAAAGAAGGTGAAATCAGGGGCTGGGGGTTTAGCTCAGCGGCATAAGCACCTGCCTTGAAAGCAGGCAGTCGTGAATTCAATCCCCGGTACTGATAAAAAGGAAAAAGACAAAAAGAAAAAAGAAATCTTTTGGGAGAATTAAGAAAATTAGGGGCCACCTTGGGGACAGAGGGGCAGGTGTTGCCTGTTGCCCATTTAAAGCATGGCAGTGTTCATCCCTGACTGTCCCCCAGAGATGATGGCTCTCCCGGAAACTGGCAGAATCAGTCGTGAAACACCAGCCAACCAGACCCCCACGTGACCAGATTCCCCCAGACCAGATGTGTAAGTCTGCCCCTTGTCTTTGTTCCCTTTTATATAAAACCCCACTGGCTGGGGATTTAGCTCAGTGGGCATAAGTGCCTGCCTGTAAGCACAGGGTTGTGAGTTTGATACCCGGTACCAAACATAAATGAATAAAATCCCAAAGTGTCGATACCGCAAAGACTGCTATTTTTTTCTTTTATTTCTCTTGGTGCTGCACATGGCCCTTTATCTAATTTATTTTTCTGCTATTTTTACCCTTAGACAAGGTTGCCTAGGGCCAACATAGTGGCACACACCTGTAATCCCAGTAGTCTGGCAGGCTGAGGCAGGAAGATCATGAGTTCAAGCCTAACTTCAGCCACTTAGCAAGACTGGCTCAAAATTTTAAAAAATGTTAAAGGGGATGGGACTGTAACTGGTGCAAAGACCCCGGATGCAATCCCTTTACTGTTAAAAAAAAAAGGTTGCTTAGAGATCTGTTATCCCAAACTAGTCCTAGCTAAAATGCAGGATGGGAAGCTATGAATCCAAATTCAGAAATTTGTAAGGATTGTTTCAAATTTAAATTTAAGAAAGAAAGGAAAAAGGGCTGGGGGTTTAGCTCAGCGGCATAAGCGCCTGCCTTGCAAGCAGGCAGTCGTGAGTTCAATCCCTGGTACCGATAAAAACGAAAAAGACAAAAAACAAAAACAAACAAACAAAAAAAACACTGAACATGTAAGTGCCCTGTGTTAGCTGTGCTGTGATTACCGATGGCATCTCTGCAAGCTGAACGTATCTGTTCCCTCATGGGTGCTGCCAGCCTGGGGCTTAGCTGTCAGTAACATGACACTCTCCAAGCTTGGTACCAGACCCAGAGAAACAACTTCTCTCTCCAAGAGTAACTTCGACTTCTCCTTCTCACTCCAGAGATAAACTTCCCGCTCCCTTTTTGTGTGTGCACCAAGCCCGTTCCAATCCCCAAACTCCACAACCACCCAAGCCTCCCCCCCAGCCCCCAGTAAATGTTTCTGTTTCTTATTTTACACAGGCAGATGCTCCTTCAGATCAGTGGTTAATATGTCATTTTGCCCAGGGCTCATAAGTGTTGCTTCACCAGCTTTTGCACATTCACCTGCTCTGTGACTGGCCTGCCTGGGCAGAGTTGACGAGGGTTTCGCTTGGGTCTTGTAAAATGACGGTCAAGCTTTGTTCTACTTTTCCTTCCCTGTCAGCTGTCTGCGGGCCCAAGTGAAGAGTCCTGGTTTTTCGCAGAAACTGCTTTTAAGTTTTTGTCTGCCTCAGAAAAAAACATACCAAGCTTTTAGTGAGGAACAGAGTCAGGTTGACCTTGAAGGACTATGTAGCCCAGGCTGGCCTCAGATTCACAGTGATCCTCCTGCCTCAGCCTTCCAAGTGCTGGGATTATAGGCATGGACTACCAAGCCTGGCTATTCCTTAATCTTCATGAGAAATGGATGAAGATCTTCCTGGTTTTGTGCTATCATTAATTATTCCAGTTTCTGGTTATACTTTCCTGTTGGGTGTTTAACCAAGTAGTTGATCACGATTAGCCTTTTTTTTTACTGGTCACAGAGATACTCAGGGCTTTGTGGGAAGCTTTTCTTCTCTACCAGTTGTGCCACTTGCCAGGAAGGACCAGGGCCTTGCAAACCATGTGGCTTCCCGTGGAAGCACAAGGAACCTTCCCCTCCCTAAGGAGCCTCTTTGTTGCAGAACACACACTGGGTACAGGGCCAGGAACACAGCTCAGCGGCACAGCACCTGCCTGGCAAACATGAAGTCATGAGTTCAATTCCTGGTACCAAAACAAAACCTAATAAGAACTCACACTGGTCTCCAAGTCCTCAGTTTCCCTGCTCATAAGTTTGGGGAGCCCTCTGGAGTTGCAGGCTTCTTTCAAGGAGCTCCTACCTGGTCCTCAAACTGAACCCTTCTTCCATTTTCTCTGCTTCTCTTTGTTAGGAGGCCAGCTTCCTCTTTGTCAGAGCTGTGCAGCTCAGTTTCAGATCTTTTTAGGTAAAACTTTTTCCCATGTTGACTGCCTGGTTTCATTCCCATTATCACTGAGGCAAGGACCCATCCAGTTGAGCCCACAGCAGTCGCCTCGGAGAACACAGCCCAGGCTCAGGCCAGCGCTTTCCCTCACATTGCCCCTGCTGGCATCTGAGTCCGTGCCCCTGTCTAGGGACTCCTCTGCAGGCTGACTTTTCTGATAGCTTTTCTGACAAAAGTCAACAACTCTGTCCCAGACACAAGGACTGGCCCTCAAAAGGCATCAGGGAAGGTTTTTGGAGGCAAGAGAGAAGGAAGGAGGGAGGTGGAATAGGTGACTGAGCAAAGTAGAAATATGAAAATATATTTTAAAAATTAACATAGTGGGGGCTGGGGATTTAGTTCAGCAGCATAAGCGCCTGCCTTACAAGTGCGTGGTCGTGAGTTCAATCCCTGGTACCGGTAAAAAAAAAAAAAAAAATTAACATAGTGATGCACACCTATAATCCCATATACTCAGGAGGCTGAGGAAGGTGAGTCCTGTGTTAGTGACCAGGCTAAGCAATTTTGTGACACTGTCCAAAATAAAAAGGGCTTGGGATACTGCTCAGAGCTAGAGTGATTTCCTAGCATGCCTGAGGCCCTTGGGAGGACAGAAATAATATTTGAAGATATGAAGTCAAAGAAGCTTAAAAAATAGTGTCTAAGAGCCAGGTGTGGTGACTCACACCTGTACTCCCAGCACTCAGGAGGCTAAGGCAGGAGGATCGTTGCGAGTTCGAGACCAGCCTAGGCTACAAAGTGAACACAAGACCAACCTGAACTGCACAGCGAGACCCTGTCTCAAAAAGATAAAAAAAAAAGGGGTTGGGGATTTAGCTCAGCGGCATAAGCGCCTGCCTTGCAAGCAGGCAGTCGTGAGTTCGATCCCCAGTACCAATAAAAAGGAAAAAGACAAAAAAAAAAAAAAAAAAAGTAATGTCTAGAGATGTCTAAGGTTAAGGATTTAGCTCAGTGGCATAAATGCCTTGCAAGCATGAATTTGATCCCAGGTACCAAAATAATTAATAATAATAATAATGTCTAGATTGCTACTAGAATCTGGTAGAAATGGAATGAGTTTGGGGGGGTGGGGTGTGCATGTGTACACACATTTGAGCCAGGGCAGTTCAGGCTGACCTTGAACTCACAGTGATCCTCCTGTCTCAGCCTCCTGAACTGGGAGGGAATGTTTCTTTGGGACATGGAAACTGACTCTGAGGCAAAACCTGCCCATCACAAGCTAAGCTCTGGCTCCCAAGTCACACAGTCAGGTAGATCCAGCCTCATCCAAAAGCAGCAGCTCCAGGTTTGGGCTCAAGTGGGTATATAGCTAGGTGGTATAGACCCACGTTACCCAGCTGTGCAGTCCAGTGCTCCTCACTGCTTACACCTGTGGTCTTGAGGACCCTAGACCCAGTGGCAGGAAGAGAAGGGAGGTCAGCCTGGCATGTTGGCACACGATGGGAAGGGCCTGCTGCCACCCGTGTTCCCTCGGCAGTTGCACCAGAAGACAGTAAAGGGGTCCCACCAGCAGCCAAAGCTTCTGGTGGAGAATTTGGCCATTCCCGGTGTGGAAAGGGACACACTTGGACTCCTGGGCAGAGGGAATGGCTTGGCTAGGAGCCCAGATGCGACAGTCTGGAAGCCAGAGGATGAGGGGTGTGGGGAGACAGGGAGCTGCACAAAATACATAGACCTCCTCCTTGTGTGAGGTCCACTGTGAGGACTATACATCCCATGGGCGGAACCGGTCTCTGTCCTCTGCCATTGTTGTGAACAAAGTGGCTGGTGGGGGTAAGGTGAGGCTGTGCGAGAGCCAGCATTGCTGGGGTTCTTATAACCAGCTGCTGCCACAGCCAGGCTACCAGTCTGCCAGCCTGGGGGACCATGCAGAACCCCCAAGGAGACACCTGGGCTGTACTGACCCTTCTATCCTAATGTTTGCTGCTTCTGCCTGCAAAACTACAGTCAGCACCACCACCCAAGAGCTCAAGTGCTGACCTGCTGACACTGATTCACATAACCGCCTAGGACCAGGGACCAGCTCTCATGGCATGGGGTGGGACAGAGGGCATGTGATCAGGGGACCCATGTTTCCACCACATACTGCACCATCTGCAAGTTAGTCTGTGGAAGTGATGAAAGGGCTGCGTGGGAGGTTTAGGGGGCTTCACTGGGAATGGCTGTCCCTTAACCCAGAACTAGGCAAGTGCTGGCCACTCTGGGTCTTGCTGCGGGTGGGCGGAAGCACACAGGCAAGGACAGCAACCAGACCAGCAAGGGTGGGACTACACTGGCATGAGCCACCAGGAGGAGCCAAAGTACCAGCCGGAAGAGGACCTAGCACAGGTAGTACAGAAGGGAGGGTGACATCCTATGGCCTTGGCGGCAACAGTAGCAGTAGGGGCCTGAGGTTTACTCTACTACCTACTCACCATGGTTTCAGTGTTGCCCCAAACTCACCCTGACTCTAATAGCCAGGGAGATCAGGCCAGCAGGGTTTTGCCCATGTGGGTGGCAGGAAGGCCACTACAAACGGTGAGCACCTCCTGTCTTCTGCATGCCTTGGGTCACATGGGGACACGGAGAGGGACCCTGCTACTCAGCTGCACTTTGACCATGGGCTCCCAGCCTCCACTCCAGGGCCTTTGGGTTTCTGTCATCAATTACCTAGGCCCGAGCCTCCTGCTCAGTCAAAGTGAATGAGGCTGGCAGCTCGGGATCTCCAGACACCCAGAACCCCTAGAGGAGGGCAGAAGCCTAGGAGGATGGAGCTGGCTCTGTGGGTGCAGGGAGGCTGGCGGGAGGTCTCCCGTGGGCTCCCACTGAGCCCTTCCCAAGTACTGTGCATGGCTCCTCAGGAGGAGGCTGCTCTGCCAGAGAGGTCACTCCCACCTGTACCCTGTCATGGTGCCCAGGCAGGGCTGGTGCTTTGCTCTCCACTTCATCCTCACCTTTTCCTCTCCTTGTCATCTCAAAACATTCTTTTGATAAGCCACTTGCATGTGGGTCCCTGCTCCAAGTGTGGTTTCTAAGGAATGTAATCTGAGAAAATTTTATAAGAAATATTTCCTATGGGGCTGGTATAGTCCCTGTACTCCCCCCAAAAAATACTACCTATAAAAAACAAAAAAAAACAAACTTCCTAAAATTTAAAAACAGAGCTGGTGTGAGAGTACATAACTATAAGCCCCGCACCTGACAGGCTGAAGCAAGAGAATCCCAAGATCCAATTCTACCTTGGCAACTTTGTGAGACCCTATCTAGAAATACAAAATAAAACCGATTAAGGATGTAGGCCTGCATCCAATCCCATACAATCATTTTTGTTTCAACATGAATCTCAGCTACTTTGCTAAGTAAAATGAGAAAAGATCAGTTTAAAAAAAGTTGTAGACTATTTCAACAGCAATGACACTGCTATTGCCCATCTAGAAAAAGCAGAAGATTTTTATTAGCCTAAGGATGCCAATTGTTTATTGAAGAGTGTTTTAAAGAGAAAGGCTATTGAAGACAAATAGAAAAACTAAGGAAGAAGTAACCCATTAAGAAAAAAAGGCAAGCACACATTATCTGCATTTCTTACTTGTATTTGCAAATTAACTACACATAAAAAAACACCCCCTCTCCTACAGTGCCCTGAGTATCACCAGGTATAAACTAAGAATGGCAAGTAGGGAAAGACGGACGTAAACTGCGGTGTTCCCTGACTACACCAGGGTTACGTCCCAGTAAACCCATCAGCAGCAGAAGGTATCCAAGGATGAAAATGCACTGAGCGCACCGAGGCTGTGAAACTCCTCACGGCTCAGCGCCATGGTGCTGCAGCACCACTGCACCTCCTTCCCTGTGACCAAAGGGCTGGGTGGGAGCGCGACACCGCACACAGGTGGCCGGGAAAGATGAAATTCAGTATCAGAGTTATGGTATGTGAACCATCTTTCTTGTAACGTCAAGAAATTATAAGTTGGACCACAGTAGGTCAGGAACTACAGCTTTGAAGAGTCATGAAAAACACAGAGAAAGATAAAAGCAGCCACTATGGTAAGTGGAGCTTGGAAAGTCTGAGGATACTGCAAAGGTGTTCTGTACGTGGTAGTTCTCAACAATTCTGATTAGACCAAAAAACAATTATTAATGTGCACACACAAATTTATCCAAGAAACACTGCACTGCATATGGCCCGAGTACATGTTAAATTATTAAAACACTACATTTAAAATAGAACCTACTATCTTCAGCTACATGTTCTGTTTATTTAGTTTGAGACAGAGTCTCACTTTATAGTTCAGGCTGCCTTCAAACTCAAAGAGATCCTTCTGCCTCTGCTTCCTGAGTGCTGGAATTAGGGGAATGTGCCACATACCCAGTTCTCCAATTACATTTACAAGTACAAACAAACAGCTTTTAACTGACTTAAATTATTCCTCAGATAAAATCTACAAATTCTAACACTGTCAATGGTACTGAGCTAATAAATTATTCTCTAAATACACTCTCTCACCAGTATCTGATTTTTCATCCACAGAATATTTGAAAAACTTCTGTCGTTCTTCAGCCTGATTCCACAGGCTAAGACCTCTAAGGAGTTCTGCAGTGTCCTTCTGAGAGCAGTGTTGTGCAATCACTTTTTTCTTAATATCCTTAAGCTCTTCATAGGTAAAATATTCCATTAACATGGGTTGAAAAACCTAAATTAAAAGACATTCCAAGGGAAGCTACTTAATTTTATTCTACACTCTGTAGACATTAAAACAGTTAGTATCTTAGGTGTAGAATTATGACCAAATATGTCAAAGACACAAATTCAGTTATTACTATTATTACTATTAAGTTTATTCAAAGAAGCAAAGAATATGGTCCCCCAAAGTCCTTTTTTAAGTCGTTTCCCCAATAAATCAGAGCCTGAAAATTTTACAGCATCAGGACAAGATTTTCCTTTACAAAATTTGTAATACAGGGCCCCTATCTCAAATGAGAATGATACCCAGTACACTGGAAACAAAAGTCACATGTCTACTGGGACATTGACCACTACTGTTTCTGAACTTTGGAGATACACCCTCAAATCAGTATTTTAGTGCACTGGTTCCTCTGAGAATTATCCATGAAGATTTCTTCTGCAAAATAGATGCCCAGTGCCAACCTTCAATTTATAAGTTTTACAGGTGGAACCAAAGTTTTTGTTGTTGCTGTTTCATAGGTAACTGGAAAGCACATCACAGATTGAAAACCACTGCTCTAAGACAGATGCAGTGGTGCACACGTGTAATAAAGGCTACCTGGGGTCTGAGGTGGAAGAATCACAGGTTTAAGACCAGTGTTGGCAACATAACAAGAACCTACCTCAAAAAAGAAAAAAAGAACCAAAAAGGAGGACCACTGGAGTAACCCAGTGACTACGATGCTGACTGCACGCGCTGTACCGCAGGGAGCTAGGGAGCCTTCAAGATGACCCTGTCAATTCATCCCACTGACTGAACTGGCTCCCAAAGGGCTTACCTGCACGTTTATGTTTTGAATCCAGGAACTTCACACAGCTACAGTCCCCGCCCTTTTTCTATTTCATTATGAGACAGGGTTTCCATTTTACTGGGAGACAGGGTTTTATAAAATCACTAAGTTTTCCAGGCTAGGTTCAAATGTGTGATCTTCCTGGCTCAGCAATCCTGAGTGCTGGAATTAGAGCCCTGCATCTGTATATTTTCTTAATTTACCAATTTGATTATAAGGTGAAACCACAGTTGAGAATCACTACAATAACAGCTAAAAAATTAACTGTTTTCTTATAAAATACTTTGTATCTTACCATGATACACATCCCATAGTAGAGAGAGAGGAAATGTTGTTCTCACCCAACGATATTCTAATACATATACATTTGTCAGAAGACTGATAAACTTAAAACTACAACTTGATTTCTAAACTCCATTATTCAAAAATACATTATTAAAGTCTTTAAATTCAGCATAAATATATTTTTAAATTTATATAATCATCAACAGATTCTGAAAAGACACTAGGGGATATAAAAGGTTATTCATGTATAACAGTGAAAACTACACATGAAAATATACATTTCTGGAGTAAATGAGACCAAATTATTCATTCACTAAAGGCAACAACCTTTTTGATAACTAATTTTCCCCCTGGTATTTGTTTTCACTTACCAAAAGGAGCTAAAGTCTATTCTCCATTAACTGCACTTACCATCCTATGCATTATTTCGAAACTCCAAAGCAAAATGGCATTGTAAAAATTTTATAAATTTAAATCACAATGGGAAAAAAAAATCGTGCTTACCTCTTCCTCCTCTTTCATGTGTGGAAGAAAATCCCTTGTAAAAGCCTCCAATCTCTCTTTCAGCTGTTTTGCATAATTTAACTGCTCATATTCATTCTGGAATCAAAAAATGATATGCTATCAAAGTTTTGTTCATTATTTATATTATGCCTGGCACCAAGAAAGTAAGTCTTAAAAGGTGACAAGAAACCTCAGGCCAGGACAGGGGGCACTGATAAATAACAAAATGGTCTCTGTACTTTTAGTACAAAAGCTAAAGAATTAAACATAGTAGCCAAGGATGGTGGTGCATGCCTGTAATCCCAGTACTTGGGAGGCTGAGGCAGGAGGTTCACCGTGAGTTTGAGGCCAGCCTGGGGTACACAGTGACTCAAAACAGCCTGCACTACAAAGAAAGACTCTGTCTCCAAAAAACAAAAAGGATTAAACATGGCAGAATAAAGACCAGCAGCAAAATTCAGCCTTTTCACAATCTGGCATCGAAACACTTGGGCACCTGGAAAACAACTTGGCAAAGAGAAAAAAAATAGATCTCCAGGAATCAGGAGGGAGCTGACAGGAAAATTAGAACTACAGAGTAGCTAGAGAAACAAAGCACAAGCAATGAAAAGAATGAAGCAGTCTAGAAAGCTCCCCCAGACAAGGGAGATCAGTCTCCACTGAAACCAGGTTAGCCTGGAGGTCAGAGGCCCCAGCAAGAAATAATAGCCAGCTGGCAGCACCGGCTATGAGTACTGGAAATTGGAGAAAACAGTGCGGGCCTTGACTTTGAAAATAATTCTTGCTGAGTGTGGTGGTGTATGGCTGCAATTTCAGCTCTCAGGAGGCTGAAGCAGGAGGACTGCTACAAGTTAGAGGCTAGCGTGGGCTCATAATGAGGCCACCCTGAACTGCACAGCAAGACCCTGTCTCAAAAAAAAAAAAAGAAAAAGAAAAAGAAAAAGAAAAAGAAAAAGGAAAATAATTCCTTTTCCAGAGAAGACTGGAGTCAGAGAAATCCAGAGCAGCATCCAGGATATTTGACAGGGTTTAATCAGGAGTCATTCTGGGAAGAAGTTCATTATTTAAGGGTAATTACAGAAGAACTCTGTTTCAGGGCTCCTGATGTCACTTACTACAGGGACAGGGCAGAAGGCCAGAAGACAGTTGCAGAGGGGATGCAGGCCAGACACTGTGGGGGATAAGGTGTCACTTTGTAGGCCCAACCCCCTCTAACCTGCAATTTACAATAGCCGCCCTGGTATGCGAGAAGGAGGTAGAACGGGAATGCCCGTTCTCAGTGAGCCCTCACCCTCTGGAATCCATACTGTGAGCTGGCTTTGTTTTGCAGAAGTCTTGAGGAAGTGGCTGGCCACCCTTTGTGACACTAACAGCAGACAAATTAACAACATTCTTGAGCTAATGAATTTCTTCCTGGGCTAGAGAAGTTGTGAGAACTGGTTGTGATTATTTACTTCACTTAGATAGTTTTAGAATAAACATTGTAGTCTGTCACGTTGTAGCTTGCCACAAAGAATGCCTTTTCACTACTTAATTATCTGGGCTCTGTGAATTGATCGGGTTTACTATATATGAATCCTAAAATAAAGATTGTGCGTACAGTGCAGTGCAGTGCAGTGTAACGCGGTGCAGACAGCAAAGGTGTCTCTCCTGTCTTTCTTTTCCAAGCGCTGTACCCCCCGTGTCCCGACAAGGCGTGCGTGTTTACCTTGCCCGGAGTTCAGAGTGCTCTAGACACTCACGACAAGTGGCGCCCGAATTCAGGGACTCCGAAGGTCGCTTAGGAAGGTAAGTATAATTTTATTACGGGGAAATGGGACAATCTGCTTCCTCTCCTTTCTTAAAAATTCTTAAACATTTATTATCTATATATGACATATCGCTCAGGTCAGCTGACTTGGATATGTGTATTGATACAATTAAAGAATATAATCCTTGGTTTCCAGATGAAGGAACTTTGGATGTAGAAGTATGGAGGAAGGCAAGGGTTAGTATAGAAAGGGCTATGCAACAGGAGGAAAAGATTCCTTTACGTTTTTGGGCTATTTGGTCGGTTGTGTACTCTTTATTAAAAGCTATGGAAGATGAACATATTGTAGAAAATCTTCAACTAGAAATTAAGCCAGTTATTCAAGAATTGCCCCTCACAGAGGAGGAGCAGAATGTAGTTCAAAATGACGCTATCGCTTTAAGTAGTGAAAAGGCGTCCAAACCAAAAGTAAAATCCGCTACAGCCGACTCAGCTTTAGCTGCCGCAGCAATATCAAATTATGACAATCGCCCAATTTTACAGGCTATACAGCATTTAACACAAGAGGTGAAACAACTCTCCGTTAAGCAGAACCCGCCTGTAGTTCCCTCTGCACCTCCTCCATCTAACCCTAATTGGAGTAAAGCCAAGCTAGCTTTGGCTGATCTACCAAAATTAGGGGATTCTGATGAGGAAAAGCCTGCCTTTGCTTTCCCTGTAATCAGGCCACAGCCAATAGATGGAGAGGCAGTTCCCCCTAGATGGGAAGCATTTAATATGGATGATTTAGCAAAATTAAAAAAGGCTGTAACCCTTTATGACCCTCAGGCTCATTACACTAGAGAATTAATAACATCGGTAGCAGATCACTATGGTAATCTTGCTCCTTATGATTGGAAAGCCTTGGCCAAAATTCTTTTAAAAGAGCCAGAATATTTACAGTGGCACATGTGGTTTATGGAAGGTTGTGTGAAAAAGGCAAGACAAAAATGCTGATATAGTGATAGAAATGTTTTAAAAGATATTTTAAAAACTTTACCTCAATATTTTTCTCCGTTTGGACTTGTAATAGCACAGGATAAAATTCAAAAGGAAGAAGTTAGTCATTATTTGGGATATATTCTTACTAGACAAAAGGTGATTCCACAAAAAATGTCTATTAGGAGAGATAAGTTATCCACTTTAAATGATTTTCAAAAATTATTAGGGGATATTAATTGGCTTCGTCCCACACTAGGTATTCCTACCCATGCATTACAGCATTTGTTTGCTACTCTACAGGGCTCTTCAGATCCATCCAGCCCTCGTTCTTTAACAGCAAAAGCCGAGCAAAAATTACAGTTTGTAAAACAACGAATTAAGGATGCATTTTTAATTAGGATTGATCCTAAATTGCCTCTAACTTTATATATTATTAATACTTTTCAATATCCCTCTACAGTTTTAGGTCAAAATGCTATGCCAGTAGAATGGGTATTCACTAAAACTAAGCAATCTAAAAATGTTATGCCTTATATTGACATGGTTGCAGCTTTAATTATGAATGGTAGAGCTCGTTCTATAACTTTGATAGGAGAAGATATAAACCATATAGTTATCCCTTTAACTAAGGAACAATGGGAATATTTGTTGTCAATTACTGAAACCTTACAAATTGCTTTAGCAGATTTCATGGGAACTTTTTCATATCATTTTCCTAAAAGTAAATTATGGGATTTTTTTAGACGTCAACAATTTGTGGTTAATACCTTATTAGCTGTACAGCCAATTCCACAAGCTTTGACTATATTTACAGATGGATCTAAAAATAAAGCTGCATATTGGACTCAAAAATCTTACTGGGTACGTCAGACAAATTTTAACTCTGTACAACAAAATGAACTTTTTGCTATATTACAAGTGTTTTTAGATTTTCATAACCAACCTATTAATATTATAGCCGATTCGGCCTATTCTGTTGGAGTAGTGACAAATATCTATTCAGCTGTGTTATATTCTAATAAGCCTGCTTTATTGTCTTTATTTCAAAATTTACAAATACATGTTCAAAAAAGAAATCATTCTTATTTTATTACTCATTTACGTTCTCATTCTCAGTTACCCGGACCATTAGTATCAGGTAACAATGCAGTGGATTCCTTAGTTATGTTCACCACACCCGTTGAAGAACATCAATTTAATCATGCAAATGCAGGACATTTGCATCTTAAATATAAGATACCTTTTACAAAAGCTAAACAAATTGTAAAAGCCTGCCCTATTTGTAGACCATTACATTTAAGAATTATTCCCGCAGGTGTCAACCCTCGAGGAACTCAACCTAATGAATTATGGCAAATGGATATTACACATGTACCTTCTTTTGGTCGGCTTTCTTATGTACATGTAGTTATTGATACCTATTCTTCATTTCTATGGGCTACTGCTCAACAGGGAGAATCCACTAAAAATGTTATTGTACATTTATTGGAGACTTTTGCAGTTATGGGAATTCCTTCTAAAATCAAAACAGATAATGGACCTGCTTATACTAGCAGAACATTTAAACAATTTTGTGATCTCCATAATATTATTCATATTACAGGGATTGAATATAACCCCCAGGGTCAAGCTATTGTTAAAAGAGCACATGGCACTCTTAAGTTGCAAATTAAAAAATTAAAAAGGAGGAGTCAGGAGGATATTCAGATACCAATACTGTTTAAATTGCAAAACAGTCCAAAAACATTACTGCATCAAGCATTGTTTATTTTAAATTTTCTCAATTTACCACAAGGTGAAATATTAACAAGAGCTGAAAAACATTTTGAACAGCAACAACAGCCTTTTGTGATTAATGAACCTATTTGGACTAAAACAGCTCCAGAGGCTGAATGGGAGAGGGGCACATTGCTCTATAGGGGGAAAGGTTTTGGTTATATCTCCACAGAAAATAAAATTCAGCAGTGGGTCCCTGGACGATGGATCAGGACCCGCGTCTCCAGATCCTGTTCACCAGCCCCGGAGACAACTCCCCAAGAAACCGGAACCGTGCCTTCAGAAGCGAGCGCGAAACCAGCTAGAAGCTGAGGATGCTGAGCTTGTTCCTATCGCAGCCATGGCCAGATTACAGCTAAAAAAATCCCGCCGCTCACAGCGACCAAATTTAAATCCCCTCCCTACATGGGGACAATTAAAGAAATTGACCATAGAAGGGCAACGGCTTGTCCTTCAAGCAGGAAAGCCTTTAAACCCTAAAAACTTGTTTTTAGCTTTATGTGCCTTGCTCACCGTTGCATCGGGGAATGAGGTACCTCCACATTCGTACTGGGCATATATTCCAAACCCCCCTTTATTAGAACCTGTA